ATCAACAACACAAAAAATCAACAACACACCAACAATCAACACAACCAAACAATCAACAACACCCCCAACAATCAACAGCACACCAACAATCAACAACACACCAACAATAAACAACACACCAACAATCAACACACCAACAATAAAACAACACATCAACAATCATCAACACACCAACAATCAACACACCAACAATCAACACACCAACAATCAACAACACACCAACAATCAACAACACACCAACAATCAACAACACACCAACAATCATCAACACACCAACAATCAACAACACACCACCAATCAACACACCAACAATCAACAACACCCAACAATCAGCAGCTCACCAAAAATCAACAACACACCAACAATCAACCCCACCAACAATCAACAACACACCAACAATAAACAACACACCAACAATCAACAACACACCAACAATCAAAAAACACACCAACCAATCAAACAACACCCAACAATCAACAACACACCCAAACAATAAACCCAAAACCAACAATCAACACACACCAACACTCAACAACAACATCAACAATCAACACCCCAAAACAATCAACAACACCCCAACAATAAACAACACACCAACAAACCCCACAACACACCAACACTCAAAAACACATCAACAATCAACACACCAACAATCAACACACCAACAATAAACCCAACACACCAACAATCATAAAACACACCAACACAACAAAAAACACACCAACAATCAACAACACACCAACAATCAACAACACACCAACAATAAAACAACGCACGAACAATCAACAACACACCAACAATCAACAACAAAACCAACAATCAACAACACACCAACAATCAACAACACACCAAAAATCAACAACACACCAACACTCAACAACACACCCAACAATCAACACACCAACAATCAACAACACACCAACAATAAAAAACCCAACACCAACAATCAACAACACACCAACACTCAACAACACACCAACAATCAACACACCAACAATCAACACACCAACAATCAACAACACACCAACAATCATCAACACACCAACAATCAACAACACCCAACAATCAACAAACACCCAACAATCAACAACACACCAACAATCAACAACGCACGAACAATCAACAACACACCAACAATCAACAACACACCAACACTCAACAACACATCAACAATCAACACACCAAGAATAAAACAACACACCAACAATAAACAACACACCAACAATCAACAACACACCAACAATCAACAACACACCAACAATCAACAACACACCAACAATCAACAACACACCAACAATCAACACACCAACAATCAACAACACACCAACAATCAACAACACATCAACAAATCAACGCACCAACAATCAACAACACACCAACAATCAACAACACACCAACAATCAACACACCAACAATCAACAACACACCAACAATCAGCAGCATACCAACAATCTTCAACACACCAACAATCAACAACACACCAACAATCAACAACACACCAACAATCAACACCAACAATCAGCAACACAAACAGGCAAATCCCAACATCCACATACTCTAAGATTCGTATGATTTCTTCACCTAACAACTCACGCTTTGGTTGGTGACTTTATGAGAGCAGCAACAAGCTGACTGATCAGGTGGTCAGCCGGAAGGTCTAACCTGGGAGCGCACTTGCGGGGCGATGACCTTGGCAGTTATCACCAGGTAAATCACAGGTGAACCATGATGGTAACCCGTGTTAGGTCCAGGAAGAGTGATGCCGTACACGAGTGTATAACAGGTGTAGAGGTACAGGTGTAGTGGTACATATAGAGGTACAGGTGTGGACGGACAGGTAAGTAGACAGGCGGACGGAAGTCAGTAATGGAACTTCCCCTCCCCTTCCATCCCCCTTCATTTGTCACCAACACACCAACAATCTTCAACACACCAACAATCATCAACACACCAACAATCAGCAACACACCAACAATCAACAACACACCAACAATCAACAGCACATCAAAACTCATCAACACACCAACAATCAACAACACACCAACAATCACCCAAAACACCAACAATCAACAACACACCAACAATTTAGCATCACACAAACAATCAACACACCAACAATCATCAAAACACCAACAATCATCAACACACCAACAATCATTAACACACTAACACTCAGCAACACAAACCCAACCAATCAACAACACACCAACAATCAACAACACACCAACAATCAGCAACACACCAACAATCATCAGCACACCAACAATCAACACACCAACAGTCAACAACACACCAACAAACAACAACACACCAACAATCAACAAACACACCAACAATCCAACAAACACACCTAACTATGATCCCAACAATCAACAGCAACACACCAACAATCAACAACACACCAACAATCACCAACACCACCAACAATCACAACAACACACCAACACTCAACAACACATCAACCAATCAACACACTATCACCAACATCAACAACACACCAACAATAAACAACACACCTACAATCAACAACACAACCAACACTCAACAACAAACAACAATCAACACATCCAACGATCAACACACAACAAACAACAACCACACCAACAATCATCAACACACCAACAAATCCACAACACACCAACAATCAAACAACACACCAACAATCAACAACACACCAACAATCAAACAACGCACGAACAAACAACAACACACCAACAATCGAACAACACAGCCAACAATCAACACCACACCAACAATCAACAACACACCAACAATCAACAACACACACCAACACTCAACACCACCATCAACAATCAACTCACCAACAATCCAACAACACACCAACAACAAACAACACACCAACAATCACTACACAACCCAACACTCCACAACACATCACAATCAACACACCAAGCATCAACACCCAACAATCAACAACACACCAACAATCATCAACACACCAACAATCCAATTCAACAACACACCAACAATCAACAACACACCACAATCAACAACACACCAACAATCAACAACTCCACGAACAATCAACAACACACCAACAATCAACAACACATGATACAACACTCAACAACACATCAACAATCAACACACCAAGAATCAACAACACAACCAACAATAAACAACACACCAACAATCAACAACACACCAACAATCAACACACCAACAATCAACAACACACCAACAATCAACACACCAACAATCAACACACCAACAATCAACAACACAACAACATCAACACAACAACAACAACACACCAACAATCAACAACACACCAACAATCACAACACACCAACAATCAACAACACACCACAACACACAACAACAACACCCAACATCCACAACCAACAATCAAACACACAACCAACAATCAACACACAACACATCAGGCAACACAAACAGGCAAATCCCACATACCACATTACTCACCAGTAAATCCGTATGATTTCTTCACCTAAAACTCACTGCTTGTTGGTGACTTATGAGAGCACACAAGCTGACTGATCAGTTTGGTCAGCCGGAAGTCTAACCTGGGAGCGCCATTCGTGCGATGACCTTGTCAGTTATCACCAGGTATAATCACCAGGTGAACCAGGTATCTGGTAACCCGTTGTTAGGTCCAGAGAGTGATGCCGTACACGAAGTGTATAACCTCGCAGTTAATCTGTATTGTGTAACAAATGGAATGTGCAACAGTATACTGTCTATATTAAGTATATACAATTATCGTCAAGTGTTAGTCTATAACAAGTATAATAATATTATCGATAGTTTGTTAGTCTATAACTGGTATACTATTCAATATCAAGTTGTTAGTCTACAGCAATGGACCATCATTAATGTGTGTAGTTAACTGAATAATTTAAGTGTGCCACAACATATATAATATATTATAATATATAATAAGATATATTATGATATATATATTATAATAATATAAATATATATATATAAATGTTATATAATATGGGGTGTGTGAGTGGTGAGGTGTGTTTTCACGGAAGGGAAGACGGGGAGGGGAAACAAGGTTATCCAGGGAAGGGAAGAGAGTTCCAGTGTCATGGATCAAAACCTTTCACAAGGATCCAACACTTCCTTTCCACTGAAGGAGAGTGTTTTAAACGAGCGAGGAGCCTGGAGATGTTCCTAGGTCCACACCTGATGACCAGGTGGTCACACCTGATGACCAGGTGGCCACACCTGATGACCAGGTGGTCACACCTGATGACCAGGTGGTCACACCTGATGACCAGGTGGCCACACCTGATGACCAGATGGCCACACTTGATACCAGTGGTCACACCTGATGACCAGGTGTCACACCTGATGACCAGGTGGCCACACCTGATGACCAGGTGGTCACACCTGATGACCAGGTGGCCACACAACCTCTCATCCCATAACACACTTTTCCATCGTTTTTTTTATTCATTCCTTGGGATGCGTACATTCTTCAGCGTGTGCGACCAGTGATGATGATGATGATGATGATGATGATGATGATGATGATGATGATGATGATGATAATAAATATAATAATAATAATAATAATAATAATAATAATAATAATAATAATAATAATAATAATAATCAAAGGACAGGTCTCACCAAATAGAGGAAAGCAGACGCAAAGAATATATAGGAAAAGAGAGGATGTAAGGGAAGATAATGATTACGTCACGAGTGTTGTGAAGATTGGAGTTTTCCTGCAATAATAATAATAATAATAATAATAATAATAATAATAATAATAATAATCATCTCTCATTTCTAGCCGGGTGTCGTATATGTTAGTTGAGTTTGATAGCTGTGTCATCAACCACATTTCCATCCTTTGTACGGTAGTAACACGTTACTGAATCATATTTATAAACCATAAATTGCCTGGTGAAAACGACTTTTTTTATCTAGGTACTGAATATTGCCTATGAAAAAATACCATGCATTATTATTAATTTTCACTGTCCATTCTTCGTACACAGCGTGAATGTATCAGTGTTCACATCGGGCAGGCTGGTGTTCAGATGGGCAATGCCTGCTGGGAGCTGTACTGTCTGGAACATGGCATCCAGCCTGATGGTCAGATGCCCTCTGACAAGACTATAGGAGGAGGTGATGACTCCTTCAACACTTTCTTCAGTGAAACTTCCTCTGGCAAGCACGTCCCCAGGGCGGTCTTTGTGGACCTGGAACCTTCAGTCGTGGGTACGTATTAAGCTGACAGTTGTCTTCTGTTGTGGGTACGTATTAAGCTGACAGTTGCTTTTTGTTGTTTGTACGTTACTGTCCCGTAACTCGGTTGGTAGGGTACTCTGCTCGCACATTGAAGTCTGTGATTCAATCCCCGGTAAGGGTGGAAACATCGGGGCGTGTTTCCTTAAGACATCTGCTGTCCCTGTTCACCTAGCAACAAGTAGGAACCTGAAAGTTAAGACACATTTGCAACATCTGGTTATCTTTATTGTAGACGTTTTGCCATCCAGTGGCTTTATTAATACAGATTCTAGGACATAATAGGAAGACAGTAGAACTATATACAAAAGATGAGGTAATCAGTCCCTCGGCCTTGGAGTTAGTGTTCACAGCATCGTGGTGGAGGAGAATCTGGAGCAAAGGCAAGAAGACTGACGGTTATATAGGCGTCAGTGGATAGGGACGGGCAGCAGACGAGGGCATAGTCACTGGTAGGCGGGATTCCCCAGTGGAAGTAGGTCCTTCCCAAAGAGATGGGTTAGTTGCAGCAGCCGTGAAGAAGGTCTTGTAGATGTCCTCTGAACCAAGATTCCATGATGTTGCAGTGTCTGACAAGTTGTGTAAGAAAGGTATAAAATACCGACAATATGAAAGTTAAGACACATGTGCAACATCTGGATATCTTTATTGTAGACTGTATTGATAAAGCCACTGGATGGCGAAACGTCTACAATAAAGATATCCAGATGTTGCAAATGTGTCTTAACTTTCATATTGTCGGTATTTTATACCTTTCTTGCACAAGTAGGAACCTGGGTGTTAGCCGACTGGTGTGGGTCGCATCCTGGGGGCAAAATTAAGCTAAGTTACCTGAAAAGTTCTGCATAATAAAGGGCTTTCTATATAGTAGTATGTCATTGATGTCAGTTAGGCCTGTTTACCTTGTATCATGTACTTGTAGAAATAAAGATATTATTATTATTACATATTAAGGTAACAAGAGTTAGTTGCCTTCTGTTGTGGATATGTATTACAATAACATAATTAGGTCTTGTTGCTTTCTGTCACATAACTCATCTTCTAAATAACAAACAACATCTAACTATTGCTAAGATAATCAAATAGGTAACTGATAAAAGTCCTAAACAGTGATTGACAATCTTTCTGATGCGCTCGGTGCTTCCCCTTTATTGTTCTTGTGTCATACCTTTTCATCTCATTTACCTTATATTTTATTTATTATTCTTGTGTTATGTTATAATCGGTTAACTGTTAATGAAAGATCTTTAGGCCTACTTCATGTTGGGGGTTTATAGGGCTATTGACAGCTTACACCGTGTCGAGACCTATTTTGAGTTTACGTCGCCCTTACATGTTGTCAAGTAAAAAGTGAGCAAACACAAGAAGACGAGGAGATAAGATTTTGTTCGGATTTTTAACCCCAGAGGGTTAGCTATCCAGAATAATCCAAGAAAGGCAGTGCGTCATCGAGGACTATCTTATTTCCATTGGGGTCCACAGTCTTGTCCCCCTGGATGCTACCTACACCAGTCGACTAACACCCAGGTACCTACTCGCTTGCTAGGTGAATGGGACAACAGGTGTAAGGAAACACGCTCAATGTTTTCACCTTTGACGGGGATCGAACTCCAGACACTGTGTGTGAGTCGAGAGAGTTGACTACCAGGCCACTGGCCACGTTATTAAGACATGTTTACCTGGAGTTTACCTGGAGAGAGTTCCGGGGGTCAACGCCCCCGCGGCCCGGTCTGTGACCAGGCCTCCTGGTGGATCAGAGCCTGATCAACCAGGCTGTTGCTGCTGGCTGCACGCAAACCAACGTACGAGCCACAGCCCGGCTGATCCGGAACTGACTTTAGGTGCTTGTCCAGTGCCAGCTTGAAGACTGCCAGGGGTCTGTTGGTAATCCCCCTTATGTATGCTGGGAGGCAGTTGAACAGTCTCGGGCCCCTGACACTTATTGTATGGTCTCTTAACGTGCTAGTGACACCCCTGCTTTTCATTGGGGGGATGTTGCATCGTCTGCCAAGTCTTTTGCTTTCGTAGTGAGTGATTTTCGTGTGCAAGTTCGGTACTAGTCCCTCTAGGATTTTCCAGGTGTATATAATCATGTATCTCTCCCGCCTGCGTTCCAGGGAATACAGGTTCAGGAACCTCAAGCGCTCCCATTAATTGAGGTGTTTTATCTCCGTTATGCGCGCCGTGAAGGTTCTCTGTACATTTTCTAGGTCAGCAATTTCACCTGCCTTGAAAGGTGCTGTTAGTGTGCAGCAATATTTCAGCCTAGATAGAACAAGTGACCTGAAGAGTGTCATCATGGGCTTGGCCTCCCTAGTTTTGAAGGTTCTCATTATCCATCCTGTCATTTTTCTAGCAGATGCGATTGATGCAATGTTATGGTCCTTGAAGGTGAGATCCTCCGACATGATCACTCCCAGGTCTTTGACGTTGGTGTTTCGCTCTATTTTGTGGCCAGAATTTGTTTTGTATTCTGATGAAGATTTAATTTCCTCGTGTTTACCATATCTGAGTAATTGAAATTTCTCATCGTTGAACTTCATATTGTTTTCTGCAGCCCACTGAAAGATTTGGTTGATGTCCGCCTGGAGCCTTGCAGTGTCTGCAATGGAAGACACTGTCATGCAGATTCGGGTGTCATCTGCATGTATTCATCTCAATTTAATATTTCTTGCTGCCATCCTTACCCAACTGTATATTTTCACTTTTTGTTTCCATTCTTTAATTTATATTTCAAGAAATATTAATGTGAGAGTACAGGTATTATGGGAGTCTTGTGGATGCGGGGGCTGTTAGGTACTCGTATTAACGTTGTAATATTTACGGGGAAGCGCTAAGTCCGTAACTGTTCTTGAATGAAAGTTTTTTTTTTTTTTTTTTTGGTTGTGAACCAGTTGGTGTATGTTTGACTGGCTAGCGTTACTGATTTGATTAACTTGTTCCAGTTTACCAGTAAGGATAACTTTATCCCTAAAATAAGAATTAAATTAAACTTTCAGTGCATTAAAAAAAACGTAGTTATGCATCTCTTGGAGCATATATCCTTGTGTGGACCGAAGTCGTTACAGGAACTTGTAATGTATACTGACTTGATGCCGACGAAGCGCTCAAGGATTATGGCTACAAGATCCACACCCAGTATTTCTAATTAAGGAGTTCAGTGCTGTATTCATGTATAATATACAGTAGAGAGCCTATATACGGTGCTTGACAAAAATTTTACATAATCGTACATACACTCCTACTTACCAGTGTGCTGTTATATATCTCTTGTGTGTTAGATGAGGTTCGTGCTGGCACCTACCGTCAGTTGTTCCACCCAGAACAACTCATCACAGGGAAGGAGGACGCTGCCAACAACTATGCTCGTGGTCACTACACTATTGGCAAGGAGATTGTTGACCTCGTACTGGACAGGCTTCGCAAAATCGCAGATATGTGCACTGGCCTCCAGGTAAGATAAAATAAACTTTTTAATGTTATGCTGCGTAATTATCCCTCACATATATATGTTGCACTTGTGCTAGATACTATCAAGGCGATAAGCATTATCACAAATCCTAGAATATAACTGTTAGTATTTTTCTGTTACATTCTTTGACCAGGGCGGTGAGACTAAAGCAATATTCTGAAGCTCATCTGTGTTTACAGTATTTGAAAGAAAATTGTTAAAAATCAGAATTTAGCAAAACCATTTTTCCTTGCCTGAAACTTACTACCAAGTTGTATATTAGACTTATAGATTACAAGAGCACAGGTCAAACAGCCAAGAGTATACAAGTCATTCTTTTTTTTAATGAGCCTGGTTGTTGGGGTGTGAAATGATGGCACTAGTTGGTGCTGGGTAGGTTGTCTGCACTCTCATCCACCACTGAATATTGAGTTCCGTTACTCCTGGGTTTTATTCCTATCCACTACACTAGGGGTATTAAGTGCAAATAAAATAAGGGGTCTTGGACAGTTGAAAAAAAAAATATCACTCATATAACCTTGAAGAACAAACAATTTGTAAATTACGGTCACAAACTCTAGCATGAGTGCATAGTTTCTGTATGGTCAGAGTCGATCACTATCGTACAGTAATAACTATATATCATTCTAGTGTTAAGCTGTAGTTTATGGTGGCCCAAACCAGGAATTTCAACTTTAGTTAATAAATATTTGTCAACAACATTAAACCCAATGTTTTTAACCATTTAATGATTTTCAGGGCTTTTTGATCTTCCACTCTTTTGGTGGTGGCACAGGCTCAGGCTTCACTTCCCTGCTGATGGAACGACTTTCTGTTGACTATGGCAAAAAGAGTAAATTGGAATTCTCTGTGTACCCGGCACCACAGGTGAGCCCATCTCTCGTGTGTCGTTCTGAAGTACAAAAATGTGCGGCTAATCTGTTCATCATAATAAAGTTTAAAAGTTACAGTGTAAATATTCAACCTGTAATGATATTACAATCATTAATGCAATATTTTTTTTTTGTCCAATTCATTTATTTTTTCACTAAATTCATTACTGGCGTCAGTAGCTCAGTATTGCTGTCTTAAAAGACGACAGAATTTTGAGGTCCAGGTGATGGACCTACTGTGTTCAGCGTACAGGGTGACTTCGACCAGCAGGTTGGGCGTGGGGTACATAAACCCACTAATCAGTAATTTCTTATGGGATAGCTTTTGTTATTTTGATATCACAAAAACTGCACAAAGCTGTGTTTTTTGTTCATGATGCTCTGAGGATGAGAGAGCAAAGGTGTCAGGACTGTGCTTTGTGGAAGTGAGTTGTTGATCGTGTTTAAATTGGCTTATGTTTAGCTTTCTGTATTGCGTCTGTGTAACCTGTTAGAAAACTGAATAGCTGCTTCTTTGCTATGTACACTTTTTCACATATTTAAGCAAAATCAGAATTGCTTCTACATATTGTTTCTCTTCAAATATCACCGTAATTTTGTCATAGTGGTCTAATGCCTTTCAGAAACAAAAACTTGTTGTTCCAGAGCCATGGTGACTTTCCATAGAACTACTAAGATGTCTTAGCAATCCTCTCACTTATGATGAATGATGTTAGTCATTCTGGTCTTGAGTTTGTTGCCACCGTTCTGCTACCTCTTTTGTGAAGAGGGATCATATCTATGGTACTGAAGCTTCTAGGATCCATCACCCAGCTCTATCTACATCCTTCACCGTGCAATGAGTGGTAATTTTCGTTCAGTATACAACATTCTAGGATTCAGGTCCCGGTGCTGAGAGCATTTCACGGTGTCACTTTATTTTTAGGATATCTTCATTATATAGGCTAATGCAATATCAGATATGTCGTTTAAACATTGGGCCAAATTTATAGGAAAACATCTTGATCATCCATTCATTTTGTGAATGAGCAATCCATTTCTTTTCTAAATAGTTCAATAGTATTATAAGTGGACTAGTTCTGTGCCTATAATATTTTGAATACGTTTCCCATCTTTTAGGTGACTGTTATCCAGAAGACGAGTCTGGGTTGCATAATAATACTATGAAGTTGACACAATTGATTTTTTACTCTGAACTTTTTTACTTACACTTCTAAACATGAATTCGTACTGTCATTTCAGAATTTCAGTAGTTTTAAAAGGTAAACTACAGAAATTTCACATGATTAATGCATGCTAAAAGACTTATGTTGTCTGAACAGTGGTTTAGACAGCTTGAAGCTGTTATGCTAGATTTTTTGGGGTGATGGAAGCTTACATTATCCATAAACTCGTAAGGGTTAGACAGCGCCTAGGAAACGGGAGGTAATACCATTCCTTTGATCAAGATCTCTATACTGTTATCAAGGTACACGACTGTATGAGTGACTTTACTGTCATCAAGGCACACGACTGTATAAGTGACTTTACTGTCATCAAGGCACACGACTGTATGAGTGACTTTCCTGTCATCAAGGTACACGACTGTACGAGTGACTTTACTGTCATCAAGGTACACGACTGTACGAGTGACTTTACTGTCATCAAGGTACACGACTGTATGAGTGACTTTACTGTCATCAAGGTACACGACTGTATGAGTGACTTTACTGTCATCAAGGTACACGACTGTATGAGTGACTTTACTGTCATCAAGGTACACGACTGTATGAGTGACTTTACTGTCATCAAGGTACACGACTGTACGAGTGACTTTACTGTCATCAAGGTACACGACTGTATGAGTGACTTTACTGTCATCAAGGTACACGACTGTATGAGTGACTTTACTGTCATCAAGGTACACGACTGTATGAGTGACTTTACTGTCATCAAGGTACACGACTGTATGAGTGACTTTACTGTCATCAAGGTACACGACTGTATGAGTGACTTTACTGTCATCAAGGTACACGACTGTACGAGTGACTTTACTGTCATCAAGGTACACGACTGTACGAGTGACTTTACTGTCATCAAGGTACACGACTGTATGAGTGACTTTACTGTCATCAAGGTACACGACTGTATGAGTGACCTGAGTGTCCTGTACAAGATGGGTTGGTAAGATTATCAAACTTGAAACCCTGGATAGCATTGAGAATAAGCTGGACATATTTTTGTTAGAAGATTTGGATTTGAGAAGGACTTGTCTAGTGTGGGTCAGCAGACTTGTTACAGTGTTCTAGTGTGGATCAGCAGACTTGTTGCAGTGTTCTAGTGTGGGTCAGCAGACTTGTTGCAGTGTTCTAGTGTGGGTCAGCAGACTTGTTGCAGTGTTCTAGTGTGGGTCAGCAAACTTGTTGCAATGTTCTAGTATCGGTCAGCAGACTTGTTGCAGTGTTATAGTATGGGTCAGCAGACTTGTACATAAGAACATAAGAAAAGAGGAACACTGCAGCAAGCTTGTTGGCCCATACTAGGCAGGTCCTTTACAATTCATCCCACTAACAAACATTTGACCAACCCAATTTTCAATGCCACCCAAGAAACATGCTCCGATTTGCAAGTCCCTCTCAAATCCAACCCCTCCCACTCATGTACTTATCCAACCTAAATTTGAAACTACCCAAAGTCCCAGCCTCAATAACCCAACTAGGTAGACTGTTCCACTCATCAACTACCCTATTTCCAAACCAATACTTTCCTATGTCCTTTCTAAATCTAAACTTATCTAATTTAAATCCATTACTGCGGGTTCTCTCTTGGAGAGATATCCTCAAGACCTTATTAATATCCCCTTTATTAATACCTATCTTCCACTTGAACATAAAATGGTATAAAATACCGACAGGTTGTTAGGTAAGACACATATGCAACAGTTAGGTATCTTTATTTCGAAACGTTTCGCCTACACAGTAGGCTTCTTCAGTCGAGTACAGAAAAGTTGATAGAAGCAGAAGATACTTGAAGACGATGTAATCAGTCCATCACCCTTAAAGTTTTGAGGTGGTCAGTCCCTCAGTCTGGAGAAGAGCATTGTTCCATGGTATGAAACAATATTGTTTCATACCATGGAACAATGCTCTTCTCCAGACTGAGGGACTGACCACCTCAAAACTTTAAGGGTGATGGACTGATTACATCGTCTTCAAGTATCTTCTGCTTCTATCAACTTTTCTGTACTCGACTGAAGAAGCCTACTGTGTAGGCGAAACGTTTCGAAATAAAGATACCTAACTATTGTATCTTCCACTTATACACTTCGATCAGGTCTCCCCTCATTCTTCGTCTAACAAGTGAATGTAACTTAAGAGTCTTCAATCTTTCTTCATAAGGAAGATTTCTAATGCTATGTATTAATTTAGTCATCCTACGCTGAATGTTTTCTAACGAATTTATGTCCATTCTGTAATATGGAGACCAGAATTGAGCTGCATAATCTAGGTGAGGCCTTACTAATGATGTATAAAGCTGCAGTATGACCTCTGGACTTCTGTTGCTTACACTTCTTGATATAAATCCCAGTAATCTATTTGCCTTATTACGTACGCTTAGGCATTGCTGTCTTGGTTTAAGGTTGCTGCTTACCATAACCCCCAAGTCCTTTTCGCAATTCTGTATGGCTAAGTTCTACATTATTTAACTACATGTGCTAGGGTTATGGACACTCCCGAGCTTCAGAACCTTGCATTTATCTACATTGAACTGCATTCTGCCACTTTTCTGACCAAGAGTAGAGTTTGTCTAAATCCTCCTGAAGTTCCCTAACATCTACGTTTGAATCAATTATCCTACCTATCTTCGTGTCATCGGCGAATTTGCTCATATCACTAGCAATTCCTTCATCAAGATCATTGATATATATTATAAACAACAAAGGGCCCAAGACTGATCCCTGTGGAACGCCACTTGTTACTGATCCCCACTCGGATTTAACCCCATTTATGGACACTCTCTGCTTCCTGTCTGTGAGCCATGACTCGATCCACGAGAGCACCCTCATGTATTTATCCAACCTATTTTTAAAGCTACACAACGTTCTGGCCTCTATAACTGTACTTGGGAGTTTGTTCCACTCATCCACAACTCTATTACCAAACCAGTACTTTCCTATATCCTTCCTGAATCTGAATTTTTCCAACTTAAAACCATTGCTGCGAGTCCTGTCTAGGCTAGATATTTTCAGCACACTATTTACATCCCCTTTATTTATTCCTGTCTTCCATTTATACACCTCAATCATATCCCCCCTAATTCTACATCTTTCTAGAGAGTGCAGATTCAGGGCCCGTAGTCTATCCTCATAGGGAAGGTTTCTGATACATGGGATCAACTTTGTCATCCTCCTTTGTACATTTTCCAGAGCATTTATGTCCATTCTGTAATACGGTGACCAAAACTGTGCAGCATAATCTAAATGAGGCCTAACCAAGGATGTATAGAGTTGAAGAACAACCTGAGGACTCCTATTATTTATGCTTCTTGATATGAAGCCAAGGATTCTATTAGCTTTATTGCGAACACTTATGACTTACATGTCATTCTTCTGTTTCTTATACATCTCTTCGTTATAGTGATAAGTATATCAATATAGAAATATTTCACCCTACGTATCCTCCATTCTCCTTGTGAGGTTTATGTTATATTAGTAAGTGTTCAGAGCAATAATACCAGTGTGATTCTTTGTTGCTTCTATGTTTTATTAATTTTATATTTGTTTTTGATGAAGAATTAGACATGTGCAATATTTGGGTATATTTATTTGTAGACGTTTCGCCATCCAGTGGCTTTATCAGTACAAGGACTTGATGTTTTTAATGTGTTGTATATATCTTTTATGGCTATGATGAGGAAATGGTATGGTGATACCGACAAGATGTGGAAAAAGACACTTATGTACAGTTCAGGACATTTATTAAAGGAAACGTTTCGCCACGAGTGGCTTCTTCAGTCCTAATACAGAGAAAACTAAGAAAACACACATATATATAGTGGTGGGAGTCAGGTGATGTGAAGCGTGGGTAGAGGTGGTAATAGTAGTAGTAGTAGTAATGGAACTAAGGAGGTGAGGTTAGAGAGGGACCTGCTGGCATCAAGTAATACCAGTTCCCAGGATGGGTAATATCCTCTTGCTTAGTAATTTTGAAATACTGTAACTACCGGATTTTTGCTTTATAGTGTTACTGACAGAAATTAGTGCAGCTTCAATGCATTTTCTCCGTCTTAAGTCGTCTTCTTTAATAACTAGTTTAGCTTCATTGAATTTCATGAGGTGTCCAACATCGTCTCTATGTTGAACACATGCGTTTTTGCGGTCATCATTTCTGCAAGCATTTTTGTGTTCTGCTATTCTAATGTCCAGAGTTCTGGCTGTTTCCCCTACATATACTTTGTCACACCCCCCACATGGTATAGTGTAGATTCCTGCACTTGTGCCGGAATCATGCTTGGGTTTTTGTATCAGGTTCCTAATAGTAGTTGAAGAGCTGGTAGATATTTTAGCCAGTTTTCTGTCAAACATTTTTGGAACATTAGTGGCAACGTTGCTGACCGGTAAAACGATGTAACTTGGAGGCTTTTCTTCAATTTGATAGGTGTTGGTCTTGCTGAGGATACGTGTTGCACGTTTCCTGCAGTCACGTATGAAGTGTAGGGGAAAGTGTAGTGAACTAAAAGAGTTGGTGATGTATGTACATTCTTCTTCGAGGAACTGCGGACTAGAAATTCTGTAGGCTCTCAGAAAGAAGCCAATAACTACCCCTCTTTTAGTTCTTGTGTCATGGTGAGAGAAGAAATGTAGAAGATCATTCTTGTAGGTAGGCTTCCGGTAGACTTTAAAAGAAAGTTTGCTTTCCCCTGTGCGTAAGAGAACGTCGAGAAAAGGTAACTGGTTGTCCTTCTCCTCCTCTAGAGTAAATTTAATAGTAGGTTCCAGATTGTTGATGGTGTTGAGGATGCCCTGTACGTCAAGATTTTTGGGTACAATGACCAAAATATCATCTACGTACCGCATCCAAGTAACTGAATGAGGGATGTTATTGAGGATCCTTCTTGATTCCAGGTCCTCCATATATAAATTGGCAAGAACTGCACTAAGGGGGGATCCCATGGCTAGTCCGAAGAGTTGTTTGTACTTCTTGTCCTCGAACCTAAAACAGTTATAACGAACACAAAGTTCTTGCCAATTTATATATGGAGGACCTGGAATCAAGAAGGATCCTCAATAACATCCCTCATTCAGTTACTTGGATGCGGTACGTAGATGATATTTTGGTCATTGTACCCAAAAATCTTGACGTACAGGGCATCCTCAACACCATCAACAATCTGGAACCTACTATTAAATTTACTCTAGAGGAGGAGAAGGACAACCAGTTACCTTTTCTCGACGTTCTCTTACGCACAGGGGAAAGCAAACTTTCTTTTAAAGTCTACCGGAAGCCTACCTACAAGAATGATCTTCTACATTTCTTCTCTCACCATGACACAAGAACTAAAAGAGGGGTAGTTATTGGCTTCTTTCTGAGAGCCTACAGAATTTCTAGTCCGCAGTTCCTCGAAGAAGAATGTACATACATCACCAACTCTTTTAGTTCACTACACTTTCCCCTACACTTCATACGTGACTGCAGGAAACGTGCAACACGTATCCTCAGCAAGACCAACACCTATCAAATTGAAGAAAAGCCTCCAAGTTACATCGTTTTACCGGTCAGCAACGTTGCCACTAATGTTCCAAAAATGTTTGACAGAAAACTGGCTAAAATATCTACCAGCTCTTCAACTACTATTAGGAACCTGATACAAAAACCCAAGCATGATTCCGGCACAAGTGCAGGAATCTACACTATACCATGTGGGGGGTGTGACAAAGTATATGTAGGGGAAACAGCCAGAACTCTGGACATTAGAATAGCAGAACACAAAAATGCTTGCAGAAATGATGACCGCAAAAACGCATGTGTTCAACATAGAGACGATGTTGGACACCTCATGAAATTCAATGAAGCTAAACTAGTTATTAAAGAAGACGACTTAAGACGGAGAAAATGCATTGAAGCTGCACTAATTTCTGTCAGTAACACTATAAAGCAAAAATCCGGTAGTTACAGTATTTCAAAATTACTAAGCAAGAGGATATTACCCATCCTGGGAACTGGTATTACTTGATGCCAGCAGGTCCCTCTCTAACCTCACCTCCTTAGTTCCATTACTACTACTACTACTATTACCACCTCTACCCACGCTTCACATCACCTGACTCCCACCACTATATATATGTGTGTTTTCTTAGTTTTCTCTGTATTAGGACTGAAGAAGCCACTCGTGGCGAAACGTTTCCTTTAATAAATGTCCTGAACTGTACATAAGTGTCTTTTTCCACATGGCTATGATCGCTGAGTGGCATACACGGTCAATATGCTCACTAAATGTCACAACAGTGTTCCTCACACTGACAACAGTGTACCGTATATAGGTTGGTTTTTAATGCTTGGTGTTGTCTCAGGTTGCAACAGCAGTGGTGGAGCCTTATAACTCTATCTTAACTACCCACACCACCCTCGAGCACTCTGACTGTGCATTCATGGTCGACAACGAGGCCATCTACGATATCTGTCGCAGGAACCTGGACATAGAGCGGCCCTCATACACCAACCTCAACCGACTTATTGGCCAAATCGTCTCCTCTATTACAGCCTCACTCAGGTTGGTTGTTTAATGAGTTTAAAGCTTATCGACTACACGATGGTCATTAAGGCTGCATGTCACTTGTTCACCTCCAGTCTAACATAGGGATCAGAGTAAACCCTTAGTGTATGGGTATATATCATGTGACTGGTACATCCAGGAGATAACTTATTTTCCACCTCTTTTGTGACAGTTAGATATACCTTGGCAAAACCTAAATACCATAAATAACATTTAAGAAAATAAACTTTAATAAAATTTTTTTATAATCTGTAGAGTTTCTATACCTGATAAACATTCCAAAGAATATGTTGGTGGTAACATTACAGCTGGATTGACTTATTCACCTCTTTTAATTACAAAATATTTGTAGTTAAAGATTCGGGCTTGTACTATACTCGCTATATTTTGTCTATCCTCAGGAATTTAGCATTTTACTGGCTATTAAGACTTATTTAAATATTATTGTGGGTTTTACTGTGTGTGTGTGGGGGGGGGGGGGCTGGAATATTTTACTTTATATTTATTATAGATTATTTTATTTTATTGAAAGAATATGATAGTATCAGTTAAAGTGTTATGATCAGTACAGTACAGTCCACAACACTTATCTTAAACAACATCATTAGAGTTTGAGGAATTTCTAAAATTTTCTTTTATCAGAATCAAGTTAAATTAACAATGATATCAGTACTTTAAGTTGTAGGATAACTGTAACTGTGTAGAGTAAACCCATTAAAACATCAGTCTCAAAAATTAAGTGAATACACAAATAACCCGGAAATAGAAGAGAGAAAAGCTTGTGACGACGTTTCGGTCCGACTGAACCAATCAAATTTCACAAGTCACAGCGGGATTTGTGAATGGTCCAAGACGGACCGAAACGCCGTGATACGATTTTCTCTCTCCCATTCTTGGGTTATTTGTGTATTGTTCCAGCAACATACTGTTGCTGGGAAATTTTCTGATTCACAATAAAATTTGATAAAAACATGTGAAATATACGGCGAGCCATCACAGGCTGCACGCTTTCCTCTGCCAATCAATCCCAATAATCAAGACGGTAATCAGATGCTTCAAACATTCAGCACACCATCAGAATTCTAGCCCTGAGTGAGCCCCAAGGTTCAAAAGCTCTGCATGGCTTGCTACGTCACATCTTTCCAGCTACTCCAAGTAAAACATCTGCTCACACACACACACACAAAAAAAAGCAGATCTTGCAAATCAATCCTAAAAATTCCAAACCAACGCTCTTACTGCATTAGATATGGAGATTTTAGGATCATTTGCCCACGGGCCAAGTCCTCTGGATTGTTTATTGTGTTACTGCGAGTTGGACAGTCGGCTCGTCATTGCTTGTCATATTTTTTCTCTTTCTTCCGCAGGTTTGACGGTGCTCTCAACGTTGACCTCACCGAGTTTCAGACCAACCTGGTGCCCTACCCACGCATCCACTTCCCACTGGTCACTTACGCTCCGGTCATCTCAGCAGAGAAAGCTTACCACGAGCAGCTATCCGTCTCTGAGATTACTAATGCTTGTTTTGAACCAGCCAACCAGGTATGTAGGCTATACCAGCCAACCAGGTGTGTAGGCTATACCAGCCAACCAGGTGTGTAGGTTATATCAGCAGTGCAATTCATCTTTATATTCGACTGATGAAGCCTGTAACTCTGTCTGACTTTTTTGGGTTATCCTAGGTTCTCTACACATATGCTGCTATGTATGATAATTCTATGTAACTGTATTGTGTATACCTGAATAAATTTACTTACTTACTTACTAACCAGGTGTGTAGGTTATATCAGCCAACCAGGTGTGTAGGTTATATCAGCCAACCAGGTGTGTAGGCTATATCAGCCAACCAGGTGTGTAGGTTATACCAGCCAACCAGGTGTGTAGGTTATATCAGCCAACCAGGTGTGTAGGCTATATCAGCCAAACCCAGGTGTGTAGGTTATATCAGCCAACAGGTGTTTTAGGTTATACCAGCCACCAGGTGTATAGGTTATATCAGCCAACCAGGTGTGTAGGTTATACCAGCCATCCAGGTGTATAGGTTATATCAGCCAACCAGGTGTGTAGGTTATACCAGCCATCCAGGTGTATAGGTTATATCAGCCAACCAGGTGTGTAGGTTATACCAGCCATCCAGGTGTATAGGTTATATCAGCCAACCAGGTGTGTAGGTTACACTAGCCAGCCACGTGTGTAGGCTATACCAGTCAGCCAGGTGTGTATGTTATATCAGCCAGCCAGGTATGTAGGCTCTACCAGCCTATACATTTGGGTGGTGTCTAGGCTGGTATAGCAAGACACATTTGCAACGCTAAGATTCTTTATTGACGAAATGTTTCGTCTCCGAACTTTTCACCTCTAGCCAAATGTTTCTGCTCTAGGTTAGGAGCCTGATCGTCTTGCACCTAGGGTGATGCACTGATCGTCTTGCACCTAGGGTGATGCACTGATCGTCTTGCACCTAGGGTGATGCACTGATCGTCTTGCACCTAGGGTGATGCACTGATCGTCTTGCACCTAGGGTGATGCACTGATCGTCTTGCACCTAGGGTGATGCACTGATCGTCTTGCACCTAGGGTGATGCACTGATCGTCTTGCACCTAGGGTGATGAACTGATCATCTTGCACCTAGGGTGATGCACTGATCATCTTGCACCTAGGGTGATGAACTGATCGTCTTGCACCTAGGGTGATGAACTGATCATCTTGCACCTAGGGTGATGAACTGATCGTCTTGCACCTAGGGTGATGAACTGATCGTCTTGCACCTAGGGTGATGGACTGATCGTCTTGCACCTAGGGTGATGAACTGATCATCTTGCACTAGGGTGATGAACTGATCGTTTTTGCACCTAGGGTGATGGACTGATCATCTTGCACTAGGGTGATGGACTGATCATCTTGCACCTAGGGTGATGAACTGATCGTCTTGCACCTAGGGTGATGGACTGATCATCTTGCACCTAGGGTGATGGACTGATCATCTTGCACCTAGGGTGATGAACTGATCGTCTTGCACCTAGGGTGATGAAACTGATCGTCTTGCACCTAGGGTGTGTGGACTGATCATCTTGCACCTAGGGTGATGGACTGATCGTCTTGCACCTAGGGTGATGGACTGATCGTCTTGCACCTAGGGTGATGGACTGATCATCTTGCACCTAGGGTGATGGACTGATCGTCTTGCACCTAGGGTGATGGACTGATCATCTTGCACCTAGGGTGATGGACTGATCATCTTGCACCTAGGGTGATGAACTGATCGTCTTGCACCTAGGGTGATGGACTGATCATCTTGCACCTAGGGTGATGAACTGATCGTCTTGCACTAGGGTGATGGACTGATCTCTTGCACCTAGGGTGATGGAATGATCATCTTGCACCTAGGGTGATGGACTGATCATCTTGCACCTAGGGTGATGGACTGATCATCTTGCACCTAGGGTGATGGACTGATCATCTTGCACCTAGGGTGATGGATTGATCATCTTGCACCTAGGGTGATGGATTGATCATCTTGCACCTAGGGTGATGGACTGATCATCTTGCACCTAGGGTGATGAACTGATCGTCTTGCACCTAGGGTGATGGACTGATCATCTTGCACCTAGGGTGATGGACTGATCGTCTTGCACCTAGGGTGATGGACTGATCATCTTGCACCTAGGGTGATGGACTGATCGTCTTGCACCTAGGGTGATGGACTGATCATTTGCACCTAGGGTGATGCACTGATCGTTCTTGCACCTAGGGTGATGCACTGATCATCTTGCACCTAGGGTGATGGACTGATCATCTTGCACCTAGGGTGATGGACTGATCGTCTTGCACCTAGGGTGATGGACTGATCATCTTGCCCTAGGGTGATGGACTGATATCTTGCACCTAGGGTGATGGACTGATCGTCTTGCACCTAGGGTGATGGACTGATCATCTTGCACCTAGGGTGATGGACTGATCGTCTTGCACCTAGGGTGATGCACTGATCATCTTGCACCCAGGGTGATGCACTGATCGGGCTTGCACCTAGGGTGATGGACTGATCATCTTGCACCTAGGGTGATGGACTGATCATCTTGCACCTAGGGTGATGGGGCTGATCGTCTTGCACCTAGGGTGATGGGGCTGATCATCTTGCACCTAGGGTGATGGACTGATCATCTTGCACCTAGGGTGATGAACTGATCATCTTGCACCTAGGGTGATGAACTGATCATCTTGCACCTAGGGTGATTGAATGATCATCTTGCACCTAGGGTGATGGACTGATCGTCTTGCACCTTAGGGTGATGGATGATCATCTTGCACCTAGGGTGATTGATGATCGTTTGCACCTAGGGGATGAACTGATCGTCTTGCACCTAGGGTGATGAACTGATCGTCTTGCACCTAGGGTGATGAACTGATCGTCTTGCACCTAGGGTGATGAACTGATCGTCTTGCACCTAGGGTGACGAACTGATCGTCTTGCACCTAGGGTGATGAACTGATCGTCTTGCCACTAGGGTGATGAACTGATCGTCTTGCACCTAGGGTGATGAACTGATCGTCTTGCACCTAGGGTGATGAACTGATCGTCTTGCACCTAGGGTGATGGACTGATCGTCTTGCACCTAGGGTGATGGACTGATCGTCTTGCACCTAGGGTGATGGACTGATCATCTTGCACCTAGGGTGATGAACTGATCGTCTTGCACCTAGGGTGATGAACTGATCGTCTTGCACCTAGGGTGATGAACTGATCGTCTTGCACCTAGGGTGATGAACTGATCGTCTTGCACCTAGGGTGATGAACTGATCGTCTTGCACCTAGGGTGATGAACTGATGTCTTGCACCTAGGGTGATGAACTGATCGTCTTGCACCTAGGGTGATGAACTGATCGTCTTGCACCTAGGGTGATGGATGATCGTCTTGCACCTAGGGTTGGTGGACTGATCGTCTTGCACCTAGGGTGATGAACTGATCGTCTTGCACCTAGGGTGATGGACTGATCGTCTTGCACCTAGGGTGATGCACTGATCGTCTTGCACCTAGGGTGATGGACTGATCGTCTTGCACCTAGGGTGATGGACTGATCGTCTTGCACCTAGGGTGGTATCTCCAGCAGTGCGATTCATCTTTATGTTCGACTGATGAAGCCTGTAACTCAGGCGATACGTTACTTCAGTAATGATTCTGTGTGATGAAGAATTAGACGCATGTACAACAACTAGGTATCTTTATTATGCAGACGTTTCTTTAACCAGTTGCTTTATACAGTAGAGGAAGAAAAAGAAGAGACTAAAGTGAGAGAAGATGGAGTAGTCAGTTGGTCAGTCTAGCAGCAGGTGTCCAGTGCAGTGTTTTGATGAATCTCAGATTCGTCAAAACTACTGTATTGAACACCTGCTACTAGGCTGAGGGACTGATTACCTCATCTTCCGGCTTCTTCAGCCAATTTGTGTTTGTCCCTTGGTTGTACTGAAGCCACTGATTGGCGAAACGTCTAATCAAAATACCCAGTTGTTGCGCTTGTCTCCAATGCTTCAACTTGTTGGTATTGACGTTATGATTCCTAGTGTTGCACATGTGTCTAATTTATCAACTTTCTCGGTATTGTTTATCATTTATAATACGATGCATAACTCTGCAGATGGTGAAATGTGACCCACGTCATGGGAAGTACATGGCTTGCTGCCTCTTGTATCGTGGTGATGTGGTGCCCAAAGATGTTAATGCTGCTATTGCCACAATCAAGACGAAACGCACAATTCAGTTCGTAGACTGGTGTCCCACGGGCTTTAAGGTAAATATGATACAGTCTCGTAAGTTTGAAGCCGAAGGGTAAAACACGCAAGTGATTTTTTTCGATAAATTGGAAACGTGTGCAACACTTAGTTATCTTTGAGGAAACATTTCGTCACACTGTGGCTTCATCAGTCCATACAAAGGAGAATAGTGAAGAACAGTTTGAGGTAATCATTCCCTCAGCCTTGAGTCGATGTAATCAGTGCATCTTGAAAAGACTACAGTATATATGCGAAGAAGTGGCTTATATATTGTAGACAGGTGAGGTGAAGCAGTCGTAGGTGGTAATACACTTGACAAATCCAAATATGGGAGGGACTGATTACCTCAAACTTCTCATGTTCTTCACAGTTCTCCTTTGTATGGACTGATGAAGCCACTATGTGGCGAAACGTTTCCTCGATAAAGATACCCATTTTCGTTTATGCAGGAGCCCATAATGTGTCTTATGAGAAAGGAAGAACGTATCCGGATAATATTCGTGTATCACTAACAACAGTGGTAATACTGGTAATAGAGTGCAAATAAGACAGTGCAGTTTATGGCATTTTATTGTGAAGACATATCCTCCACCAGCGAGTTTATCAATATAATAACAATACTGAGAGTCTTTGTGCAAGAATGGTATATAATACCGACAAGATGAAATTAAGACACATGTGCAACATCTGGGTATCTTTATTGTAGACGTTTCGCCATCCAGTGGCTTTATCAATACAAATTCTAGGACATAACTTGAAGACAGTAGAACTATATACAGAAGATGAGGTAATCAGTCCCTCAACCTAGGAGTAGGTGCGAAGAGCACCATAGTCGTGGAGATTCTGAAGCAGAATGTATGTATAATGTTCGCCAAGGCCATAGTCCTGGCACGGGTCCCAATCTTGCAGAAGCAAGGAGTCTGGCGCTTATATAGTAACGTCAGGTGTAGCAGACGAGGGCATAGTCACTGGTAGGCGGGATTCCCCAGTGGAAGTAGGTCCTTCCCAAAGAGATGGGTTAGTTGTAGTAGTAGTTGTCGTAGTCGTGAAGGTTATGTACATGTCCTCAGAATCAAGATTCCATGGTTGAGGGACTGATTACCTCATCTTCTGTACATAGTCCTACTGTCTTCAAGTTATGTCCTAGAATTTGTATTGGTAAAGCCACTGGATGGCGAAACGTCTACAATAAAGATACCCAGATGTTGCACATGTGTCTTAATTTCACTGAGAGTCTTTGCTGAACGACACATCACAAATGCCATAACCTGCGCTGTATGTTTTATATATTCAGTAATACACCTTTATTAATACCGCTTATAAACTTTCCTCCTGTGGTTCCAGACTTATGGGACACTGTTTTTAACAATAAAGACAACATTACTGATTACAAAAAAGATAAAACAGGACGAAACATCAGAATGCAGTAGGCACATGTCGAAAAAAAAAATAAATTAAGAAACCGACATGGAGACAGAAAAGCAGTGTGTATTTCGATGATAAGATAAGATAAGATTTCGTTCGGATTTTTAACCCCGGAGGGTTAGCCACCCAGGATAACCCAAGAAAGTCAGTGCGTCATCGAGGACTGTCTAACTTATTTCCATTGGGGTCCTTAATATTGTCCCCCAGGATGCGACCCACACCAGTCGACTAACACCCAGGTACCTATTTACTGCTAGGTGAACAGGACAATAGGTGTAAGGAAACGTGTCGAAATGTTTCCACCCGCCGGGAATCGAACCCGGGCCCTCCGTGTGTGAAGCGGGAGCTTTAGCCACCAGGCCACCGGGCCACCTATAATTGATCCCCGTCAGGAGTACCGAGGAAGTGAAAGGTGACCCGTAGCTTAGACCAGTACATCAACGAAGACCTTACGTCCCCGCGCTGCTCAAGACGATCTCAGACTAAGATCAAAATACAGTTTTTCTTTTCACAGTGTAATTTCTTTCTCTCTCTCCTCGTCGGTTTCCTCAGTTCAGGATAACACATTAACAGTCCTATGTGTTGAAGTTATTATAATATTTATTACTGACTTTTATTAACTAGCCACTGTTTAAGTCTTTACAGAAAATATTAAACACTGTATTAATTATTGTAATTCTGTTTTAAATACATTGGTTTTTTTTCTCCACCATGATGTGGTGAGTCAGGGATGGGAAGCTTACACCATGATGTGGTGAGTCAGGGATGGGAAGCTTACACCATGATGTGGTGAGTCAGGGATGGGAAGCTTACACCATGATGTGGTGAGTCAGGGATGGGGAGCTCACACCATGATGTGGTGAGTCAGGGATGGGAAGCTTACACCATGATGTGGTGAGTCAGGGATGGGAAGCTCACACCATGATGTGGTAAGTCAGGGATGGGAAGCTTACACCATGATGTGGTGAGTCAGGGATGGGGAGCTTACACCATGATGTGGTGAGTCAGGGATGGGGAGCTTACACCATGATGTGGTGAGTCAGGGATGGGAAGCTCACACCATGATGTGGTAAGTCAGGGATGGGAAGCTCACACCATGATGTGGTGAGTCAGGGATGGGGAGCTCACACCATGATGTGGTGAGTCAGGGATGGGGAGCTTACACCATGATGTGGTGAGTCAGGGATGGGGAGCTCACACCATGATGTGGTGAGTCAGGGATGGGAAGCTTACACCATGATGTGGTGAGTCAGGGATGGGAAGCTCACACCATGATGTGGTGAGTCAGGGATGGGGAGCTTACACCATGATGTGGTGAGTCAGGGATGGGGAGCTCACACCGTGATGTGGTGAGTCAGGGATGGGAAGCTTACACCATGATGTGGTGAGTCAGGGATGGGGAGCTTACACCATGATGTGGTGAGTCAGGGATGGGAAGCTTACACCATGATGTGGTGAGTCAGGGATGGGGAGCTTACACCATGATGTGGTGAGTCAGGGATGGGGAGCTCACACCATGATGTGGTGAGTCAGGGATGGGAAGCTTACACCATGATATGGTGAGTCAGGGATGGGGAGCTTACACCATGATGTGCTGAGTCAGGGATGGGAAGCTTACACCATGATGTGGTGAGTCAGGGATGGGGAGCTTACACCATGATGTGGTGAGTCAGGGATGGGGAGCTTACACCATGATGTGGTGAGTCAGAGATGGGGAGCTTACACCATGATGTGGTGAGTCAGGGATGGGGAGCTTACACCATGATGTGGTGAGTCAGGGATGGGGAGCTTACACCATGATGTGGTGAGTCAGGGATGGGAAGCTTACACCATGATGTGGTGAGTCAGGGATGGGGAGCTCACACCATGATGTGGTGAGTCAGAGATGGGAAGCTCACACCATGATGTGGTGAGTCAGGGATGGGAAGCTCACACCATGATGTGGTGAGTCAGAGATGGGGAGCTTACACCATGATGTGGTGAGTCAGGGATGGGAAGCTTACACCATGATGTGGTGAGTCAGAGACGGGAAACTCACACCATGATGTGGTGAGTCAGAGATGGGAAGCTCACACCATGATGTGGTGAGTCAGGGATGGGAAGCTCACACCATGATGTGAGTCAGAGATGGTAAGCTCACACCATGATGTGGTAAGTCAGGGATGGGAAGCTCACACCATGATGTGGTGAGTCAGAGATGGGAAGCTCACACCATGATGTGATGAGTCAGAGATGGGAAGCTCACACCATGATGTGGTGAGTCAGAGATGGGAAGCTCACACCATGATGTGGTAAGTCAGAGATGGTAAGCTCACACCATAATGTGGTAAGTCAGGGATGGGAAGCTTACACCATGATGTGGTGAGTCAGAGATGGGGAGCTCACACCATGCTGTGGTAAGTCAGGGATGGGAAGCTCACACCATGATATGGTGAGTCAGAGATGGGAAGCTCACACCATGATGTGAGTCAGAGATGGTAATCTCATACCATGATGTGGTAAGTCAGGGTTTGTAAGCTCACACCATGATGTGGTGAGTCAGGGTTGGTAAGCTCACACCACGATGTGAGTCAGAGATGGTAAGCTCACACCATGATGTGAGTCAGGGATGGTAAGCTCACACCATGATGTGGTGAGTCAGAGATGGGAAGCTCACACCATGATGTGGTGAGTCAGAGATGGGAAGCTCACACCATGATGTGGTGAGTCAGAGATGGGAAGCTCACACCATGATGTGGTAAGTCAGGGATTTTAAGCTCACACCATGATGTGGTGAGTCAGGGATGGGAAGCTCACGCCATGATGTGGTGAATCACGGATGGGAAGCTCACACCATGATGTGGTGAGTCAGAGATGGGAAGCTCACACCATGATGTGGTGAGTCAGAGATGGGAAGCTCACACCATGATGTGGTGAGTCAGAGATGGGAAGCTCACACCATGATGTGGTGAGTCAGAGACGGGAAGCTCACACCATGATGTGGTGAGTCAGAGATGGGAAGCTCACACCATGATGTGGTGAGTCAGAGATGGGAAGCTCACACCATGATGTGGTGAGTCAGAGATGGGAAGCTCACACCATGATGTGGTAAGTCAGGGATTTTAAGCTCACACCATGATGTGGTGAGTCAGGGATGGGAAGCTCACACCATGATGTGGTGAATCACGGATGGGAAGCTCACACCATGATGTGGTGAGTCAGAGATGGGAAGCTCACACCATGATGTGGAGAGTCAGAGATGGGAAGCTCACACCATGATGTGGTGAGTCAGAGATGGGAAGCTCACACCATGATGTGGTGAGTCAGAGATGGGAAGCTCACACCATGATGTGGTGAGTCAGAGATGGGAAGCTCACACCATGATGTGGTAAGTCATGGATTTTAAGCTCACACCATGATGTGGTGAGTCAGGGATGGGAAGCTCACACCATGATGTGGTGAGTCAGAGATGGAAAGCTCACACCATGATGTGGTGAGTCAGAGATGGGAAGCTCACACCATGATGTGGTAAGTCAGGGATTTTAAGCTCACACCATGATGTGGTGAGTCAGGGATGGGATGCTCACACCATGATGTGGTGAATCACGGATGGGAAGCTCACACCATGATGTGGTGAGTCAGAGATGGGAAGCTCACACCATGATGTGGTGAGTCAGAGATGGGAAGCTCACACCATGATGTGGTGAGTCACGGATGGGAAGCTCACACCATGATGTGGTGAGTCAGAGATGGGACGCTCACACCATGATGTGGTGAGTCACGGATGGGAAGCTCACACCATGATGTGGTGAGTCAGAGATGGGAAGCTCACACCATGATGTGGTGAGTCAGAGATGGGAAGCTCACACCATGATGTGGTGAGTCAGGGATGGGAAGCTCACACCATGATGTGGTGAGTCAGAGATGGGAAGCTCACACCATGATGTGGTGAGTCACGGATGGGAAGCTCAAACCATGATGTGGTGAGTCAGAGATGGGAAGCTCACACCATGATGTGGTGAGTCAGAGATGGGAAGCTCACACCATGATGTGGTGAGTCAGAGATGGGAAGCTCACACCATGATGTGATGAGTCAGAGATGGGAAGCTCACACCATGATGTGGTGAGTCAGAGATGGGAAGCTCACACCATGATGTGGTGAGTCAGGGATAGGAAGCTCACACCATGATGTGGTGAGTCAGAGATGGGAAGCTCACACCATGATGTGGTGAGTCAGGAATGGGAAGCTCACACCATGATGTGGTGAGTCAGAGATGGGAAGCTCACACCATGATGTGGTGAGTCAGGGATGGGAAGCTCAAACCATGATGTGGTGAGTCAGAGATGGGAAGCTCACACCATGATGTGGTGAGTCAGAGATGGGAAGCTCACACCATGATGTGGTGAGTCAGGGATGGGAAGCTTACACCATGATGTGGTGAGTCAGAGATGGGGAGCTCACACCATGCTGTGGTAAGTCAGGGATGGGAAGCTCACACCATGATATGGTGAGTCAGAGATGGGAAGCTCACACCATGATGTGAGTCAGAGATGGTAATCTCATACCATGATGTGGTAAGTCAGGGTTTGTAAGCTCACACCATGATGTGGTGAGTCAGGGTTGGTAAGCTCACACCACGATGTGAGTCAGAGATGGTAAGCTCACACCATGATGTGAGTCAGGGATGGTAAGCTCACACCATGATGTGGTGAGTCAGAGATGGGAAGCTCACACCATGATGTGGTGAGTCAGAGATGGGAAGCTCACACCATGATGTGGTGAGTCAGAGATGGGAAGCTCACACCATGATGTGGTAAGTCAGGGATTTTAAGCTCACACCATGATGTGGTGAGTCAGGGATGGGAAGCTCACGCCATGATGTGGTGAATCACGGATGGGAAGCTCACACCATGATGTGGTGAGTCAGAGATGGGAAGCTCACACCATGATGTGGTGAGTCAGAGATGGGAAGCTCACACCATGATGTGGTGAGTCAGAGATGGGAAGCTCACAACCATGATGTGGTGAGTCAGAGACGGGAAGCTCACACCATGATGTGGTGAGTCAGAGATGGGAAGCTCACACCATGATGTGGTGAGTCAGAGATGGGAAGCTCACACCATGATGTGGTGAGTCAGAGATGGGAAGCTCACACCATGATGTGGTAAGTCAGGGATTTTAAGCTCACACCATGATGTGGTGAGTCAGGGATGGGAGAGCTCACACCATGATGTGGTGAATCACGGATGGGAAGCTCACACCATGATGTGGTGAGTCAGAGATGGGAAGCTCACACCATGATGTGGTGAGTCAGAGATGGGAAGCTCACACCATGATGTGGTGAGTCAGAGATGGGAAGCTCACACCATGATGTGGTGAGTCAGAGATGGGAAGCTCACACCATGATGTGGTGAGTCAGAGATGGGAAGCTCACACCATGATGTGGTAAGTCATGGATTTTAAGCTCACACCATGATGTGGTGAGTCAGGGATGGGAAGCTCACACCATGATGTGGTGAGTCAGAGATGGAAAGCTCACACCATGATGTGGTGAGTCAGAGATGGGAAGCTCACACCATGATGTGGTAAGTCAGGGATTTTAAGCTCACACCATGATGTGGTGAGTCAGGGATGGGATGCTCACACCATGATGTGGTGAATCACGGATGGGAAGCTCACACCATGATGTGGTGAGTCAGAGATGGGAAGCTCACACCATGATGTGGTGAGTCAGAGATGGGAAGCTCACACCATGATGTGGTGAGTCACGGATGGGAAGCTCACACCATGATGTGGTGAGTCAGAGATGGGACGCTCACACCATGATGTGGTGAGTCACGGATGGGAAGCTCACACCATGATGTGGTGAGTCAGAGATGGGAAGCTCACACCATGATGTGGTGAGTCAGAGATGGGAAGCTCACACCATGATGTGGTGAGTCAGGGATGGGAAGCTCACACCATGATGTGGTGAGTCAGAGATGGGAAGCTCACACCATGATGTGGTGAGTCACGGATGGGAAGCTCAAACCATGATGTGGTGAGTCAGAGATGGGAAGCTCACACCATGATGTGGTGAGTCAGAGATGGGAAGCTCACACCATGATGTGGTGAGTCAGAGATGGGAAGCTCACACATGATGTGGTGAGTCAGAGATGGGAAGCTCACACCATGATGTGGTGAGTCAGAGATGGGAAGCTCACACCATGATGTGGTGAGTCAGGGATGGGAAGCTCACACCATGATGTGGTGAGTCAGAGATGGGAAGCTCACACCATGATGTGGTGAGTCAGGGATGGGAGGCTCACACCATGATGTGGTGAGTCAGAGATGGGAAGCTCACACCATGATGTGGTGAGTCAGGGATGGGAAGCTCACACCATGATGTGGTGAGTCAGAGATGGGAAGCTCACACCATGATGTGGTGAGTCAGAGATGGGAAGCTCACACCATGATGTGGTGAGTCAGAGATGGGAAGCTCACACCATGATGTGGTGAGTCAGGGATGGGAAGCTCACACCATGATGTGGTGAGTCAGAGATGGGAAGCTCACACCATGATGTGGTGAGTCAGGGATGGGAAGCTCACACCATGATGTGGTGAGTCAGAGATGGGAAGCTCACACCATGATGTGGTGAGTCAGGGATGGGAAGCTCACACATGATGTGGTGAGTCAGAGATGGGAAGCTCACACCATGATGTGGTGAGTCAGGGATGGGAAGCTCACACCATGATGTGGTGAGTCAGAGATGGGAAGCTCACACCATGATGTGGTGAGTCAGAGATGGGAAGCTCACACCATGATGTGGTGAGTCAGAGATGGGAAGCTCACACCATGATGTGGTGAGTCAGGGATGGGAAGCTCACACCATGATGTGGTGAGTCAGAGATGGGAAGCTCACACCATGATGTGGTGAGTCAGGGATGGGAAGCTCACACCATGATGTGGTGAGTCAGAGATGGGAAGCTCACACCATGATGTGGTGAGTCAGGGATGGGAAGCTACACCATGATGTGGTGAGTCAGAGATGGGAAGCTCACACCATGATGTGGTGAGTCAGGGATGGGAAGCTCACACCATGATGTGCTAAAAACTTGAGTAGCTTTAAAATAAGTTTAGACAAATACCCGAGTAAAGAGGTATTTGATTAGACGTTTCACCTGCTTAGTAGACTTCAGTCGAAATACAGACAGCAGAAGAACTGAAGGTGTAGACACGAGGCGATCAGTCCCTCAGCCAGGGGAAGTGAGTTTTCGTTCAGATGATGAGTCCTTCAGCATGGAGAAGTGAGTTTAAGGTGATCACTCCCTCAGCATAAGAACGTAAGAATGGAGGAACACTGCACAAGGCCTACTGGACCATACAAAGCAGGTCTTTATCAAAACCACTTCTTCCCAAAGCTATTCAAGAATTTACTCCCGTACCCACGACACCAGACAAACCCAGCCCCTCCCGCTCATATATTTGTCCAATCTCTTCTTGAAGCTACCCAGGGTAGCTTTAAGAAAAAGTGAGTTTAAGGTAGTCAGTCCCTCAGTTTGGAGTGAGTTTAAGGTGCGTTTACCTCTATAAGTTATTTAATGTAATAAAGTTGGTAGAATTACCAACAATATGTAAAGTAAAAGGACACAAGTGCAACTAATGTGACATTTTTATTGTAGCAACGTTTCGCTCTCCAGGAACTTTGTCAAGCCGTTACAAACAATACATACCCTCTGTGTCCATGTACTGTTTGTAACGGCTTGATAAAGCTCCTGGAGAGCGAAACGTTGCCACAATAAAAATGTCACATTAGTTGCACTTGTGTCCTTTTACTTTACAGGTTATTTAATAAAAACATCAATTTGTTACACATATGTTTACTTTTCGGCATTGTTTACGAGTGATAATGACCCGGGCTGTATCTGAGGACATGCTTAGCATGGGCCAGTACGTCTTCTGCAGTGCTCATTTCTTTTGCTTTTGTGTTCTTGTATAACCTGTTCTCTGGAGATTAATACAATTTTGATTTGTCAGGTGGGCATCAACTACCAGCCACCAACAATAGTGCCCGGTGGTGACCTGGCCAAGGTGTCCAGAGCTGTGTGTATGTTATCTAATACCACAGCTATAGCTGAAGCTTGGGCACGTCTTGACCACAAATTTGATCTTATGTACGCGAAGAGAGCTTTTGTACACTGGTAAGTGGTTGGCTCAGCAGAGCGCGCTGTTATATCCATTGTTGGCTAAACATACAAGATTTTCTGCTGTGGTTTGATAATCTGAATTATAGAAACTGCTATAAAAATATTAAGTACAGACGGTGTTGTCTGAAGGACATTAGAGTTAACTCTATAGTAGTTATTATAGTTAAGCTTATGCTCACTGCATACAGTGTAAATATAACTAACTGTTACTAAGGTGATTCATCACATTTAATACAAGTTAAAATATGTTAGGTAAGACACATATGCAACAGTTAGGTATCTTTATTATGAAACGTTTCGCCTACACAGTAGGCTTCTTCAGTCGAGTACAGAAAAGTTGATAGAAGCAGAAGATACTTGAAGACGATGTAATCAGTCCATCAGTCCAGACTGTGGGACTGACCACCTCAAAACTTTAAGGGTGATGGACTGATTACATCGTCTTCAAGTATCTTCTGCTTCTATCAACTTTTCTGTACTCGACTGAAGAAGCCTACTGTGTAGGCGAAACGTTTCATAATAAAGATACCTAACTGTTGCATATGTGTCTTACCTAACAACCTGTCGGTATTTTATACCATTTTAATGTTCAAGTTAAAATATGACAGGTGTGACAGTCAGCTGTCATGCACTTGTTTTACGGCAGAAGTTGAAAAACAGTGAAGGTTCACACTATATTTATAAAATTAATGTTGTAAAAAATATTATTTTGATTTGTAACTTAATACAAAATTAAAAAAAAATGAAGGTAGTATAAGTCATGCTTACAAGTTAATATAATAATCATAGCAGTATTACTGATGTTTGAATGGTCATTTGAATGACTTCCCTGGTAAGACAGTTGTTGAATGAGTCATGGTGAATGTGGTTTTTCCTTTGAGTCACCTTTCTTTAATAAAAAATGTCTGATGTAATAGAAAACTAGCTACACATAGGCGAGAATATACAACATACTGGAAAATCATATGCTAGAAATCAACAAAACTAATTCGTACTGCTTCTTAATTTAAGCTCATTGAGTTTATTTTCAACTTGAGGTACGTGGGTGAGGGTATGGAGGAGGGGGAGTTCTCTGAGGCCCGCGAGGACCTGGCTGCCCTAGAGAAGGACTACGAGGAAGTTGGTGTTGATTCTGCTGATGGTGACGGAGAGTTAGAGGGAGAAGAGTACTGAAGAAGTTATATTCGACCTTCCAACACCTGCTGCCACTGTTCATCTAGCTGGAAATATATACAAACCCAGGAGTTGCTGGATTGTTGTGGGTCGCATCCTAGGGAGGACCTAAGAGTACCTTTGGGAATAAGTCACACTGATTTGGCTTTGTTGTACTATTCTGGGGTAATAACCCTCTGGGTTAATAATCCAAAATCTTCTCCTTCTCCTCTTAATGTTTTAATTAACTGGAGAAATATTTTTACATTACGGAATATACAGTGACCAAAAGTTTTAAATTATAATTATAATTACATTTAGTTTTAATATATGATCATTTCACTTTTTGTCAATATCGCATCATTGTGTGAAGCCTTCCAGGTTAACTCGCAGTTTGTGTCTTATTTGGTGAAACTGAAAATATATGATGGTACACCATCCCGAAATCACGTTTTATTTTCCCAAACAACATGTATAGCCTTAATATTTAATATATTAAATTGTGTCACGATTATCTGATTATGCAGATCTACCAGTGTGTAGATAAACAAAATATATACTCCGTGAGGTGTGTGTATCTATCTATAGGTAGGTAGGTAGGTACGTAGATACACACACACACAGAGGCCACTTTATTAGGTACATCTGTACACCTACTCGTTAATGCAAATATCTAATCAGGCAATCATATGGCAGCACCTCAGTGCCTAAAAGCATGTAAACATGGTTAAGAGGTTCAGTTATTGTTCAGATCAAACATCAGAATGAGGATTTTGATCATACAATGATTGTTGGTGCTAAATAGTGTGTTGAGTATCTTACAAACTGCTGATCTCCTGGGATTTTCATGTACAAGAGTCTCTACAGCTTACAGAGAATGGTGCGAAAAATACAAAACATTCAGTGAGTGGCAGTTCTGTGGGTGAAAAAGCCTTGTTAATTACAAAGGTAAGAGGAGACTGGTCAAACTGATTCAAGCCGACAGAAGGTGACAGTATCTCAACCACGTGTTACAACAGTGGTATGCAGAAAAGCATCTCTGAACACACAACACATCAAACCTTGAAGTGGATGGGATACAGCAGCAGAAAGGCACACCGGGTTCCATTCTAATCAGCTAAGAGCAGGAGACTGATGCTAGAGAGGGCAGAGGCTCACTATAACTGGGCACCGGAAGACTGGAAAAACGTCGCCTGGTCTGACGAATCGCAATTTCTGCTGCGACGTGCAGATGGCAGGGTCAGAATTTGATGTAAACTACCTGAATCCATGGATCCACCCTGCCTTGTGTCAACGGTTCAGACTGGTGGTGGTGGTGTAATGGTGTGGGGAATATTTTCCTGGCACACATCAAGCCCCATAATGCAAATTGAGCATCGATTAAATGTCATAGTTTACCCATCTTTCAGTGGCTACATCCAGCAGGATAACACGCCATGTCACGAAACTTGTCATCTCAAGCTGGCTCCACGAACATGACAGTGAGTTCAGTGTACTGCAGTGGCCTCCCCAGTCGCAAGATCTCAGTCCAACAATACTTTTGAGATGTGACGAAACGAGATTTGAAGCATGAACGTGCAGCAGACAAATCATCAGCAACTGCGTGAGGTTATCATGTCAACATGGACCAGAATCTCTTTGGAATGTTTCCAGCACCTTATTGAAGCCAAGTCAGGAAGAATTCAGGCTGTTCCGGGGGCAAACGGGAAGCCCTACCAAGTACTAGAAGGGTGTACCTAATAAATTGTCCGCAGAGTGTGAATATATTTATTTAATTCATTTTACTCACTCTTTTAGGAATTAAAGCTTTCTTGACTGGTGGTGAACAGGTTTCATGCAGCTTTATGACCCTAATGTAGTATACAGACTAACTATTAATCAAGATAAATAGAGGCCTTTTTCGTCATGGTTATTTAAAAACAAAAGAATAAAGTTTACAGAGAAGATCTCTGTGACAGCCTTTTATCATTAGCATCTACCGGTGTGTACCCACCTCTTTGTGGTTGCAGGGGTCGATTCATAGCTCCTGGCCCCTCCTCTTCACTGATCTCTACCAGGTCCTCTCTCTCCCTGCTCCATGAGCTTTATCAAACCTCGTCTTAAAACTATGTATGGTTCCTGCCTCCACTACGTCACTTGCCAGACTATTCCACTTCCTGACAACTCTATGACTAAAGAAATGCTTCCTAACATCCCTTTGACTCATCTGAGTCTTCAGCTTCCAATTGTGACCTCTTGTTTGTGTCCCATCTCTGGAACATCCTGTCTTTGTCCACCTTGTCAGTTCCTCGCAGTATTTTATATGCAGTTATCATGTTAATCTCCAGGGTTTGTTACCTGGACCTCAGCAATGAGAGTGGCTGAACATCAAAATGGTATACAATACCGACAGGTTGTTAGGTAAGACACATATGCAACAGTTAGACAACTTTATTCCGAAACGTTTCGCCTACACAGTAGGCTTCTTCAGTCGAATACAGAAAATAGGCAGGAACAGTAGAGATGTGAAGACGATGTAATCAGTCCATCACCCTTGTAGTCGTAGAATTTGAGGTTGTCAGTCCCTCGGCCTGGAGAAGTTCAGTTCCATAGTCAGGAACTATCTGAAGATCAAGCGACAGTGCGGAGACTTAAATACTGTCGGAAGGAGAGGTGCATAGTAGTAGTAGTAGTAGTAGTAGTAGTAGTAGTAGTAGTAGTAGTAGTAGTAGTAGTAGTAGTAGTAGTAGTAGTAGTAGTGAGAATGTAACCACTGATAGGTCATGTCCCTCTCAGATCCAACACTTCTCACTTGAAAAGCTTGTCCAAGGTGTTTTCTGTACCAAGATGCCACGTGTTGCAGTGTCTGACAAGATGAACATCAAAATGGTATACAATACCACTATGCACCTCTCCTTCCGACAGTATTTAAGTCTCCGCACTGTCGCTTGATCTTCAGATAGTTCCTGACTATGGAACTGAACTTCTCCAGGCCGAGGGACTGACAACCTCAAATTCTACGACTACAAGGGTGATGGACTGATTACATCGTCTTCACATCTCTACTGTTCCTGCCTATTTTCTGTATTCGACTGAAGAAGCCTACTGTGTAGGCGAAACGTTTCAGAATAAAGTTGTCTAACTGTTGCATATGTGTCTTACCTAACAATGAGAGTGGCTACTCTCACCGCTGGGCAACGGCGACCAAACAACTCTATACAATGCAAGAACTAGACATGCCAGATAGAGAACATCCTATACAAGTTGTAAATACCACGGATTATATCATCAATACTCCTTCTCACAGGACTCAAAGAATGACTCTCCCACAGAGGCTCCGTTGTTTTATTCATAAAGATGATTATCATCGACCAATGATATTGAGCAACCTCCCTGATGAAGATGATTGGGTAACACCAGAACCCTTCTATGTTTACTGAGAAATCATCGCCCCCAATTAGGGAGACATCTTATATAACATTCTACTGTAGAAATTATACTGTATTTACTATGGCGGGACACCACCTGTAAGAAGCTGGCCAGGAAATTATTGCCTTCATTGTCACTTAAATATCCGTTGTGCAATCGCAAAAAAAGGCAATTGCAACTTGTATATTTACTACCAATTCAGAGTCATGTACTTATATATCTGTTATATCTATGTGACTCTGATGGGTTAGTATTATACCCCTTTAAAAATATCTTATTATCTCACATACACTTTTCAAATTACACCAAAGTGGTTGGGCCACTTACCTTTTATATCCTACCTCTCTCCCCCCTCCCACTCTTTTCCAATATTTCTATCCTTACCCATCCTTCTTCCTTACCCATCTTACCAAAGCTCTGGTCATAAGAAGAAGTTATCATGTCGTCTTTAACTCTAATGTCCTCCAGTGTCGTCAGGCCGATTTCCCTTAACCTTTCTTAGTAGGACAGTCCCTTTAGCTCTGGGACTAGTCTTGTTGCAAACTTTTGCACTTTCTCTAATTTCGTGACGTGCTTGACCAGGTATGGATTCCAAACTGGTGCAGCATACTTCAATATGGGCCTGACGTACATGGTGTACAGATTTTTGAGTCCTTACTGAGGTATCGGAACGCTATTCTTAGGTTTGCCAGGCGCCCATATGATAAAACAGCTATCTGGTTAATGTGCGCCTCAGATGTGCTCGGTATTATACTCACCCCAAGGTCTTTCTCCTTGAACGAGGTTTGCAGTCTTTGGCCACCTAGACTATACTCTATCTGCGGTCTTCTTTGCCCTTCCCCGATCTTCATGACTTTGCATTTGGTGAGGTTAAATTCCAGGAGTCATGCACCATCACAGGTGATCATGCACCATCACAGGTGATCATGCACCATCACAGGTGGTCATGCACCAACACAGGTGGTCATGCACCATCACAGGTGATCATGCACCATCACAGGTGGTCATGCACCATCACAGGTGGTCATGCACCATCACAGGTAGTCATGCACCATCACAGGTGGTCATGCACCATCACAGGTGGTCATTCACCATCACAGGTGGTCATGCACCATCACAGGTGGTCATGCACCATCACAGGTGGTCATGCACCATCACAGGTGGTCATGCACCATCACAGGTGGTCATGCACCATCACAGGTGGTCATGCACCATCACAGGTGGTCATGATGGGTCGAGTCTTAGCTCCTGGCCCCGCCTCTTCACCGGTTGCTACTGGGCCCTCTCTCTCCCCGCTCCATGAGCTTTATCAAACCTCGTCTTAAAACTGTGTATGGTTCCTGCCTCCACTACGTCATTTTCTAGGCTATTCCACTGCCTTACAACTCTATGACTGAAGAAATACTTCCTAATATCTCTCTGACTCATTTGTGTCTTCAACTTCCAATTGTGGCCTCTTGTTTCTGTGTCCCCTCCCTGGAACATCCTGTCTTTGTCCACCTTGTCTATTCCACGCAGTATTTTATATGTCGTTATCATGTCTCCCCTGACCCTCCTGTCCTCCAGTGTCGTCAGGCCGATTTCCCTTAATCTTTCTTCATAGGACATTCCCCTTAGCTCTGGAACTAACCTTGTCGCAAACCTTTGTACTTTCTCTAGTTTCTTGACGTGCTTTATCAAATGCGGGTTCCAAACAGGTGCTGCATACTCCAGTATGGGCCTGATATACACGGTGTACAGTGTCTTGAACGATTCCTTACTAAGGTATCGGAATGCTGTTCTCAGGTTTGCCAGGCGCCCATATGCTGCAGCAGTTATCTGGTTGATGTGTGCTTCCGGAGACATGCTCGGTGTTATACTCACCCCAAGATCTTTCTCCTTGAGTGAGGTTTGCAGTCTTTGGCCACCTAGCCTATACTCGGTCTGTGGTCTTCTGTACCCCTCCCCTATCTTCATGACTTTGCATTTGGCAGGATTAAATTCGAGAAGCCATTTGCTGGACCAGGTGTCCAGTCTGTCCAGGTCTCTTTGAAGTCCTGCC